GTAGCAACAAGTGCAGATCAGGAATATTGGCCAATGGAGCCAAAAAAACCAAAGTGCCAATAATCATTGATCATTACCCAGTTAGAACGGTGATGTTGACAGAAAAGGCAGTCATTCGAAGCAGTTTGCTGCAAAGCAAGTGGGGCACATTGAATATCCCAGTTGAAAAACAACTTTGCTTAACACTTGAAACAACCCATTGAGAAGTATCAACCTCAACTATGTCAAGCAGGCCAAGTTTTGATGATATTCTTGTAGACATGAATTTTTTTTAGTTGGTACGATACTAAAGGGGCAAGCTAATCTTCATTTCTTCTTTGAGTATTGATTATACTTGAAGCCAGACATTATTTTCTAACATATTTTAGAACAAAACTTACTTTAACACAGGATTTTTAGGAGCTACGTGCTTCAGTTGAAACGCAACTCAGGGACCATATACAGATACCATAGAGTTGTAAAGTGGACTAGATTTTAATGTGATATTTATACATTTCTTATCATCAAATAGGAATGTAACAAAAAAGGAAACAAATATGATCTGATGGTGATAATATGAACAATGAAACTCCAAAAGAAGAAATCTAACTCACAGTTGTGCTTCCTGTCAAAGGGCTCTCACTCTTAGCACAAGGCTGATCTACAATCACAGTTTTCTTCGTTAATCTAGTTCCTGTTCCACCAGTTTTTGGAGTAACTTCTTTACATGATGTTTCATTAAGCATATCTTTCAACTGATCGCCTGTGACTGATAATCGTGTCTCCACTATGTTTCCTTCGGTTGACTTTTTCAAAGGGCGTGGGCGCAAAGTGTTGCCATTAGGTGTTTCTAGTTTGATCTTCTTCTTGCTTGAGAGCAAAGCATTGTTTTCATCAGCGGGATTTGGCTGCTCCATAAAATTCTTGCTAATACTTGTCAAATGAGTCTTATCTTCAGTGCTATCCTTTGTGGCAAACAAACTTCCATGTTCTCCAGGCACCATGGGGTTCTGAGTACCACAGTGAGCATTTCCTGTCTGGTCTTGCGCTTCAGAAGCAATTAAGACTTCCTGAAACAAAAGCTTCTACAATAATCACAATGAAGTATTCTAAATCTACAATAGGAAGTCCAGGTGATGCCAGAACTAGAACAACATTTAAGGAATTCAACAAGGCAAGTTATTATTTGTAAAATCTGAGCAGATTTTAAAGCAAACTAAAATGTATAATCCACAACTAGTTCAACACATCTGTATAGAGAAAATGGAAATAAGAGTAGAAAAGGAGATGAGACATAAAAACAAAGCATTTTTCAATCTATTAATACAGAGAAGGTAATCATTGAAATGAGCAGTAATCAACTTAGACACAGTCAAAAAGCACATTTCAAATCAGTATTTCCTTCTCTTCTTAAGATAAAATTAAAATGTATACTCTAGACCCATGTTCAGTACCGCGAACACAACAATGAGCTCATTTAAATTTAAAGTGGGAAAACAACGGCAAACAAAAATTGTCAAGGGAGAAGATACCTTGGATTTACTAACCCATTTGCCATCAATCCATTCAATGTTAGGCCTTATATCTGAGTGAGTGAGTTCCTTGTCCTCATTTCCATGCTTAAAAAACACATTGTACCTTCTTCCGGTAAGAACTTTGGTAATTACTCCACTTCGCCAACCAAAATTATATGTTGTATCCACTCTTTCCAGCAATTCATAATTTCTATCTGCATAACGAGGAGGAGTGGGTCTGATATGGAGGGAATCTACAACAACTTTTACTGTCCCAGACTCATCATCGTTCCTTGAGCTCTGATACTTCACCAAGAAACTATTCTCCCCATTTTCTTTTATGACTATTGCAGGGAACCAAACATCACGTATACTTTCTTTGTCAATACTTACCTCCACTGTTGTCCCTGAGCTAAAAATGGAGCCTGTTGATTGCTTTAAAAAAAATAAAATTAAAAGGTAAATCACTCACATGGCACAAAAAGTCAACCAGGCTGCACAAATCTTCAATTCTACAAATGACATATAATAGAAAACAGGATAATACGGTCTTAAAAACTATGCAAAGTGAGATTAACCAACAGCAGATATGCATAAATGTACAAATACATGCAGAGTAGAAACTAATATACAGACGACACAATAACAATTGGATCTAACATAACCAAGAAAATGCAATTACATTAAAAAATAAATAAAAACTAAACAAAGGGCAAGCATGATTCAGGAAAATTACAAAGCTCGCGCGGCTATAATTGCCTTTAGCATTCAACTAAAATTGCATGATACCTAGGCCAAAATAGATTACAAATGAAAATTAGCAGAGCTAAACAAAGAAAGAATATCAAATTAAACATATTGTTCGAGTTAATTATTTAACTCGAGCACTCAAAAAACCCTAACCATCTTATATACTTTTTGCAGTAATCATGAAAACATAGTTGTAATAGGAAATTTTTAAAGGTAAAAAGTTACATGCAGTGAGATCCGCAATTTCAACATAAAAAAAAAAATGATACCTAGAATTAGTGAACCCATAAATTACCATTTTCCTCCAAAATACAAAACACAAAAATTCAGCTCTGGAATCTGAAATAAACCCAAAAATCCCAGATCAAAAAGAATTAAAAAAAGAAAGAAAGAACCAAGGTGGCCGTGTTACCACATACCTGCTTTGCAGGTCGAACCCATTTGCCATCGATCCAATCCCAATGAACCCTCAAATCTTTGCTCTCAAACTCAATGACATCGGGAGGATTATCAAAATAAACCCTACACTTCGACTTTTCCAAAATCCTTCTCACAACCCCAGTCCACCACCCATCTCTATACCTCGCATCAACGACGTCGTTTACCTCAAACACTTGACCATCCTCCTCCTTCTGTTGAGGCGGCAACGGCCGTACAAAAGCGGGGTCGACGTGTTCAGTCAAAGGGGATGAGCCATCTTCGGCGAGCAAAGTCTTGTACTGAACCAAGGCCTTCTTGCGTTTCTTGGAAGCGGATTTGGGAGGGAATTCGAGAATTGTGGCCAAGTACCAAGCGCCTCGAAAGCCTTCCTCGTCGCTGCTGACCTCGACTGGGGTTCCTTTGCCGAAAGGTTGTTGTTGGAGTGGGTCAGTGTCAGGAGGAGGATTCACCATTTTCGGTGAAGAGCGGAGTGTGTGGTGTGGAATCTTTCGTGCAGAAAACCCTAGGGGGTTTTCCGGTCTTTTGCCTTTGCAGTCAAAACGCTCCCAAATTTTTTTTTTTTAAAAAAAAGTATACAGCTTTTCTTTTCTTTTCTTTTCTTTTCTTTTTTTTTTGTCTTTGAGATTATTAATTTTTGTGGGTTTTGGCGGGATAGTATTAGCATTTGCTCATTTTCGAGCTTTCTTTTACCATCTTATATAATAAATGTTGGGAGAGCACATAATCACCACTTTGACGGTCCATGTAATTTGTTCAAGTTTATAATAAACATATATACTTTGGTCATGATATTATGCAATATATCAATACTTCTTTTATTTTTTAAAAACAAAAAACATACTACTTATGAAATAAAATAAAACAAATTAAAAAGTTACAACGAAAGAGTCGTTTTCTTTTTATATGCTGAGAATCTTTTCCCAGATCAGCAACAATTCCGCACCAGAAATGGCGTCCATCGCACCAGCCCGGTTAACCAAAACCCTCACTTCTTCTTATCCGCAAGCCTTGACTAAAACCTTTCGAATCCCACAATTCATATCCCAAAACCCACACAGACGGGTCCCTTATAGAAGAATCCAACAGAAAACAACCGTAAAAGCGTCGGGCTCCAGCCCGGACGCACCCACTGGCTCCTCTCCTGGGCTGTACTCCGCACGGAAATTCGAGCTCACCGCTCAAAACGTGGACCTGGTTCTGGAGGATGTCAGGCCTTACCTGATTGGCGATGGCGGAAACGTCGGCGTTGTGTCCGTTGAAGATGGTGTCATCTCTCTCAAACTCGAAGGTCACTTGGGTCTTTTCTCCTGATTTATTGACAATTTCGTTTCATGATTCTTGGTCTGGTTGACTTTTCTCTTCCTTTTTTTTTTAAAAAAAAATTAGTACTTACGGCTGTTTTATTTTTTGCTGGGATTGAAACTAGAAATTTATTTAATTCTGCTATTATGTAAACGAGCTTAGTACTAAAGAAAGGGGCAATCAGTTGGCTTGAATGTATTTTCCCACATACAAATTACTACAATTATTCAAGTGAACTGAGACTTTGCTGCATTATTTGATGACAGGAGCATGTGGAAGCTGCCCTAGCTCAACAACAACCATGAAAATGGGGATTGAAAGAGTTTTGAAGGAAAAATTTGGAGATGCAGTCAAGGATATTCGACAAGTATACGATGCTGAAGAAAGGGAAACAACTGTGGAGGTGGGTTCTCTCTCTATTTAAAACAAAGTTGTCAACAAGAAAATTGTGTATCGGCTAAATTAATTTGGCATTCATTACAACAGGCAGTGAATCGTCATCTTGATATATTGAGAGCAGCTATTAAGAATTATGGTGGGAGCGTGGAAGTGTTATCCATCGAAGGCGGGGAATGCGTTGTAAAGTATACAGGGCCTGAATCCATTGGATCAGGAATCAAAGCTGCAATTAAGGAGAAGTTCCCAGATATCGTGAATATTGTCTTTGCTGGCTAGCTTCATTTTTCGCATCAGAAGCTGAAAAAGTTGATGATCTCCTCTCTGGTTTCACGAAGACTGAGATTGCTTTGCATCTGAATTCTGACGCTGGTTTGTCTATGCATGTACCATTCAGTTAATACTTATAGATATGCAATCCCAAGGTAAAGGTGACTGCATATTTTATCTAGATGCATAGGTTATCGTTTTCATAGTGAATGAAATATATGTAATATTGTAAAGATACTCGTTTCATATTTCATTTGGACATTTAAATCACTGTTAACATTCAATACTCGTAAGATTCTCTCATCTCTGCCGTTTTACTAAGCAGCTGCAGTAAAATTTTGAATCATGGAACAGATCCTTATCAGCTCCTTAGCTTAGATAGACTTCTCTGTATCAGCAGCATTAATGGTTGATTGTAGCCAGCGTGATAAACAGACAATGAATGGCGTGTAAGCAAAATAGCAGGTGACTGTCCAAGTAACTAGTCCCTGTATAGAACTCAAACTCTCAACTTCGGATGTCATAGAAGCTTCTAATTGATTAAGTTTCTCTTTAGCAAAATAACTATTTACCTGTCCAAAGATCTCTACATTGGCTTGTGGGTAGTACCAGAGGTGGAAGAACCTGAAAGTCAGCAAGCATCAACGTTTTAGTGAAATAGTAAATAGCTACTTCTAATTATTTTGTAGGTGATGAAATTATGCTTAAGAAAGCAATCTTACTTCATCAACGGAATTTCAGCCAGGGGGCAGCATATGCCAATGATGGATGCTAAGGAGAAACCCAGCCGTGTCCTGTCTAGGGAGAACCATAAAAGCTCTGCCACTGCAAATAATATGTAGGCCTCGATGTTGTCCGCGACTCCATTTTTATACATTTCAGCACTCAGTTCGATAAATAGCACCAATGCTCTGTGTTCAAAAGATATGGTCTAAGCTATGAGGCAACACAGTTTGCAGTAATCTGAACTGATGCATGTTTAGTTTCATTGCAGTGCTAAAAACATTTCCTGTAAATCCGCAACCGTATCCTGGTTGAGATCATGAGAAATAGAATTTAGAAACTAGATAGCATTAATTGACTCACATCAGAGACCCGCCCGCTTTTTCCAGGGTCCCCTCCGGCACTTCTGAAGAAGCCTTTTCATCCAGGAAGAGTTGCAGCAACCCAACCGTGCAGTAGAACAATCCCAGCAAAGGAGGGACCTAACACCATTCCAACACACAAATTATCAGACAGATAGAAAAACGAAGAGAGTGTGGACAGTGAATTAAGAAGCCTAAAGAAGAGGTAACAAAGAATCCAATTTACCCATATATTCGTGTGGAGAGAACCAATGTTTATTGCCCCATTTTGGTAGACCACGAGGTCGACCCTCGAATGAAGTCCGTCAATAAGGGGACCCAAAACGAAACCAGAACCGAAAAGCGAGAGAGAGATAGAAGGCCAGGGGTTTCTTAGACTTGTTTTGCTCTGCTTTCTTATACTGCAACAATCTATAGACCGAAAATGTTTCAAATTAACACTGTGAGGGGGTTTGAGAAGCAGTCGAGGGGAGCTTAAAGCGATGAGGTTGGTCATGCTTATGCCCTCACGTTGGACACTTGGAGAAACACGTGCTGATTTTATTGCTGCTACTAAAATTTCAGAGAGCTCTAGGTAGGAGGACGGTGTGGATCCAATTTAGAGGTGGGTACAGTTTAGGATTAAATCTGAACCACGGAAGTAAATTGTAGAATTGGAGGCCATAGGTAAGCAAACACGCAAATTGATGGTGACGTGAAAGTTGAAACTGAGAGCCAGTGGCACCTTCAATCATCAGCTGCAATTCAGTTCGCAATACCTGTCGTGCTCTGCTCTGTACACTGCACCAGGATCCTGGAGCACCTCCCTTAACTCGAGGCTCAATTATTATTATTTTTTTTATTTTTTCTGCAAGGGTTGTAAGTTGACATCGCAGGAGCCAGCGGATAGACGTCATGAAATCACGAGGAATGAGGTGAATCTTCTATATATAAATATAAAATTTTCATCATTTATTAGGTATGTTTTTTTAAATTTAAATTCATAATTTATAAATTTATATTTTTTAAATTAAAAATATAAATTTATAATTTATAAATTTACATAAATTTTTATTTTTAGAATTTAAGACATTTCAATCTTTATTGATGTGATATATCATGAGAAATATAAAAATCAAAATAAAAACGAATTAGTATAAAAGTCCTTCTCATCGAATCTAAATCTTCACTGATATAAATCTCTCACAAAAATTATAAAAATTGAGATATACTCAAATTATGGTAAAAATTCCTTTCCTTTTTAAGTAAAACACCAATGCAATTCAAATTAGTATAAAAATCCATTTTCTCTATGAGTGCAACGAAATTATTGTATAATTAAATTAGATATAATATCACAAATCACATGTTAGTAAGAAATAAGATAAATATTAAATATATAAATATAAATCTTTTACCACATATTAAATATGTTTTTAATTTGAAAAAATGAATACGTGATTTAAAGTTCTATTTAAACTTTATTTTCAAAATTTAAGATAAGAAAACAAAAAATCTGAGGACCATAAAAACACTGGCAAGGCACCTTGGGAGAAACCAGCCACATTTACCAAGCCGGAGACTGGACTGCCAGAGGAGCAAACGATTCCCACTGAAAAAGCGTTACGAATGTAAGAGCTTGATATACACTTGGGCTTAGCATCGCAAATATCTTAGTCATCATTGGCATGTGAATTCAACTTTGTACATGAATGGCCGCGGATGCAGATTCGAAGAAACGCAGAGGAAGTTGGAAAAAGGCAAGCAACAATTTATGGCCCAGGAAATAATCTTCATCTTCCTCTCTCACACACGTTAATGTTTTAATAAAAAATTCAAAATCGCAAGTTCTCCGATGGAACAAACATAGTTACATTTTTAACATTCTTCTATCATTTGGTGGGGAATTATGAAAAGAGACTAAAACTAGTGAAAGGTAAGTAATAGTTCCTCACCACAAACAGAAATATATTTACAAGGGTCAAGATAAACGTAAAATTACAAAGCAATTTAGCACCTCGCCTACCAGAAAATTTGACAAAACCAAACGTCCAATTCCCAGCTAAGGAAATCAGTAAAATATGTCAGTTTTTGAATTCTGATGCTTTATGCATATCATTCAAAAAGATGTTGAGTTTTTCCTACTTGTGAGAAAAAAAGCTTGGATTTGGTTAAGAAAATAAGTTTAGTAGTCAAAACATGGAGCTTCAAAATCTGCTTCTGATGTACTTGGCAGATTCATAATGGAGCTGCCGCGAGTCTGCCCCTGAAATCCTGCAATGTAATCAAATCCAGAGTGGTGGATTTGGAGTATCAAAAAAGCAATATCCTAACTAAACACTGGAGAAACATGGTAAAAGATAACAACAGAAAATCTACATCTATAACATCTAAACTGGGTCCCAGTTCAAGCATGGAAACATAACCAACTCATAGAGAACTGTTTTTTTTTTTTTTTAAAGGCCTCATAGAGAACTATTACCTTATATGAGGTTAATTTGCTTGCTCACCCTTTATTATAGATCTGAAGCTTTCATCTTTCTTGGCCGTTTGTGAGCTGGTGAAGATGGAGTCTCAGATACTCTTCCAGGTCCCTAGAAATGACATCATAAGAAGAGATTACATCTAAACTAAACAAAGCACAGAGACATCAGAAAGTACAAAGGCAAGCAAATAGAAAAGATTAAAGAACATAATTGGCGCACACCTTGCGTTTCTGCTCCCTTTTGCCAGCCCTTTCACCTAAATTACAATCAAATATGCAAGTAATCAAAAACATATAACCAACTCATCCCAAAGAAAAACTAAAAGAGATATATTACCTCCAAAACTAATGGCGTCAGGAACAAATGTTCGATCCTGATCCACAGCACGATGTGATCGCTGCACATTAACAGACTCCAAAATTTCAAGAATTGAACAATTCAAAAGGGGTTCTAATAATCAAAAGTCCATAAAACTAGAAAAAATTATAGAAATCAGAAACTCAGATTTTCAACCTTAGGTGTGCCTGGCATATCACCATAGGAACCATCACGGAAAGATGAACCCTCTGCCTCCTTGTATTGCAACTGTTAAAAATCACATAAGATCAATGAACTGAGTAAGCAGCACACCACCTCTAACATTGTGAACTACTAATCAATCAGAATTCAGACACACCCTATGGATGTCTTTCCCAACTCAAAATCTACAATCCCAGACTTTTAACATCTTAGCTTAATTAGTACATGTAAAATGAATGATCTAATTTATATTCAGAACTACCTATCAAACTTGTACAAATATGAGAAATCTTTGTATATGCTTTTCATGATAAATAATAAATTCATTAAAAAAAATGGAGATGTGAACTATAACTAAATCACACAATCATTTTGCTGATCTTAACAAGTTTGGTCTTCTGTTAAAACCGAAAAATGCTAGTTTGTCAGGGAAACACTGGGACAGAAAATCAGACACCTCAGGTTCTAAAATAATATTCAATCCAACTCTCAGCATGTGCAATAACTCATGAAAACCATTAATACTTGAAACTGCATAGTAAGACAAAGTTGCCAGACATTCACCAAGAGACAATATATCACTGTCTTAGTTTATCATATAGCACGCCATTCTTGTCTAAGTTAAAACAAAAAGAGACAAAGTTAAAAAGGGAATAACACATTACTATTACCAACAATCATCCAAGATATAGACAAAATAGAAGCCTAGAATGGATCAAAATGTGTCAAGGTAACTTCAGCTAAAAGAAACAAATTTTAAACATCACATGTGAAACAAACTTTTGTGGGTAAAATACTTTCACTTTCGAATTTTTAATCATAATTCCACGCGGGTCCATTAGTTTTTAAAATAGACAATCCATCCCAAAAGTGTAAACACAGTTAACAGAAAATATAAAAAGACTAAAATGCTCTTTCTTCTTTATTAATTTAAAAAATTATTATTATATAATTCTTTTAAAAAAATTAATAAAAAGTAAAATTGTCCTTTCAATATTGCCATGTCATCAAACTAAGGAAAACACTAACGGTTAACTAACGGCTAGACCTATGTGTCAAGTGGAAGATACTTTTTTGGGACGAAATATCCATTTCAAAAACTAATGGACCATCTTGGGATTTCGATTAAAACTTAAGAGCATGGGGGTATTTTACCCAACATTCATTCATCCATTTACTTTGGGGGAAAAGAGAACTCCACAATAGGAGCAAATTACAACTTATGCACATTTCACCTAACTATATGAGTAAAGGAGTGGCACTAACTACATTTAAGGATTAGATATTATAAGATACAAGCACAAAGAAAACCCCTAATCTTTAGATAAATTAAAGATATGAGATACCTGTTTCTGCAGATTCAGCAAAGTTAGAATTTCTTTTCTTAATTCTAGATGCTCAGCACAAACAGCCTTTGTTGGCACCTTTGGTTTCAAATTAACCTGTAAAAAATTAGTTTAGATTTTTATACCCAATTTCGAAAAGATAATTAAGCTAGATTAATGAAGAATGTTCACATGATTCAGAATTGAATCACAGCCAAACGGCTAGAAATAAGGAGCAATAGGCAATATTATTAAAAGTAAGTGATAAACAGGATTAACTACTAGTTGTTAATATGAGCAGTCATCTAACAATGACAAAAATTATAAACAAGCACCCTCAAGTCAAATTATGTCTGTTCTACTGAATCTCTAGATTGTCTCCAATAAAAACATTTTCATCTGAAAAGATAATAAGACCTCATGATCTGAGAAATCATACTATGCATATACTCCTAATATATATTCTGAGTTTTAATATCTGGTCATCATGCATATAATATAACAATAACATCATCCACCAATAACAGATACAAGAATCTCTGCGCAGCATCACATTTCAGGGAGCGTAGACAAACCCCAAGATCTTGTAAGGTTTGCTCAACCCGCTTGATGGTCCGAAGTCCAGCAGATGAGCTTGCAGCTTGGACCATTTGCTCAAGTGCATATGTTCTCAAATATACTCGAAGCTGAAAATTATGTAAAGCAGTTAGCATACTTGTTTACAAGAGCAAAGAATATCCAGAAACAAACTTTGAAAAGCACACACCCTCAGACACTTCCAAGGAGAGGTAACGGTTGCCTCAGTTATTGATTTGACCACAAAAAATATTGGAAGCAAACAAAATGAATTATTAAAAGGGAGCACATATAATAAGTCAGATCACATACATTTCCTAAGGACAGAAGCAGCCACTTCTAATTATTTATTTATTTTATTCTTTGATGGAGAGAGACAAGAGAGAAAACTGAAGACTAGATGTCACACATACCATGCGCAAGGAAGTAAGAGTAGAGGCATTATCAGCCATTATTGAAGTAGAAGGTGCAACAGCTGCAGACGGAACTTGAACACTGGATGGAGATATAGTATCTCCATGACCAATAGCCCTCTCAACACTTTCAGGAACAATATCTGATGTGACTGGCAAATCAGGTTCTTCAGCACCCTGAACAGTACAAAACATAGAAAGCTAAATTATTCTAGATTGTGGAAACCCAGGTGCAATCACATATGCAAGTATATGCACAACCACCACCCCCCCCCCCCCCCCCCCCCGTTTCTTTCTAAGTTTGAACGCAAAACTAATCAAGTTGAAAATTTTATTTCCTTTGCTCCCAATTCTGAAATCAAAGTATGACATAAACAGACAGAACTATTAACACTCCCCTTTCATTGGCAATTGCAAATGCCAAAATAGCAGCTTGTCCAATTAATACTTACCTGTGCAGCCATGCGTGACTCAGCTATTCTTTTCGCTTCGGCAAGAACCTGCAGAAACAAACCATAGACCAGTCAAAATTTTGAGCATGTATTCAACCAACAAGCCCACATGCAAATAAATGCTGGGAAGGTCACATAATAAACAGCAATCATAAGTGAAAAGCAAAAGTATATACCTCGGCATCTTTCCGCTCTTGCTGCTTTGTTTGAGAAAGGACCATCGATAAAGCACGTTTGCGTTCCGTCTCTTGAGAAACATTGTAGGGTTCCTATACCGAGAGGATAATATCAGAGCTATACTAAATAACAAAGGAAATGAAATAATAATCTAGAGTGATATAAATACTATAACAGCTTATTCCTGTTACTATCAATTGCAACATAAAAGTAAATTATTCATATAAAATGCTGCTTATATAGCTATCAGACCTTAACAAGAGGATGCCCTGCAACTTCTCCAGGAGATGGAGCCCTAGCAATCAGTATGGCTCGAGACACTACATACAGATAGTGCCATAATCATTATGAGAACCATATAACATCCCAAAAATAAATTGAAATAAAATTCCATAGATAATGGATAAAATTATATGCAAATTCAAACTGTAGAAAGAACAGAAAGGGAGTGACTTGGATGATTGGCAATAGAAAGCCTAGCAGTTGGATAGAATACCACTATAATAGCGATCCTTCAATTCCTCCACAGTCCGGAATGTCGGGAACCTGTCAGCTATAACAATGAAGCGGAGATCAAACCGTTCGCATAAGTCAAACAGTTGGTCTGTCTCTTCCTTAGTCCACATCTAATTAACAAGGCAAAAGAAAAGAAATTTAACTGACAAATTGAATTCATGGTGGCTCAAATACAGGTCTTAATTCAACTACTACTTTCAGTTAGAACCAAACAGAAGCAATTAGTGGGAAAACTAAAAAATAGAGCTGCAACCTCAAGTTGATACATACAGGATCAGTTAAATACTTTTCATACTCCTCATCTGTGTATTTGATAACATCAACAGACTGCACCACACCAGACAAAGAAACAAACAAAGTATAAAAGAAAAAGATAAAACAAAAAAGATATGCAGCATAAATTAATTTGCGGCAAAACATAGAGGGAAAAAAGAAAAAGATATTGTTACCTTATTATACTTTGCAAAGGAATAATCACCTGTCGGTGGAACACCATTTACGACTCGCACCTGTAAGGTGTACAAGAGACTAAGACATTAAAAATGCGCACTTAGTTAAGGGAGAAGTCTTTCTAGAAACAGATACTTGCCCAGTGGTAAAGTTGCAAATTATCCTTTCGTGCAGAGCTTGTGAAAGGAAGCCACTGCCATGTGATCTGAAGAGAATTTCAACAACATTAAGCAACACACGGCAAATTATAACTTTGACACCCAGAAATATCAAATTTAAATTATTCAACATAAAAATATTCTACTAATTTTTATGCTCCATATGGTTGTTGCTTATATTACTTCCTAAGATTTGCATGAAAGCAAATGCAAACTAAGATCCATGAACCTCCAAATTTTAACATTTGGGCCATCAAAATTTACTTTTTTTGCATTTGCATCCAAATGTACTTTAGTTTCTTATTTGGAAGCAAAATGCAAGCAAAAAAAAGTACTCTTTCAAGCAAAAGGAGTCTTAGCAAAACCTTCTCATCCGATGGTGGGCGTCGTTTCAATTGGGAGGCGTCAATTGAAGGCATAAGCGGAGCCAACCCTCCCGTAAGGGCATAAACCTACGATTCCAACCAAGAAAAGAAGCCCTCCTTCACTCAGTGCAAGCTAAAAAAGAAACATGATTGAAAAACAAGCAGACTTAATTTTTTTTTTTTTCCTTTTACCTCGCGAGAAATGCCATCGGGTTTTCTCTGGGAATCTTTCTGGGGACGTGGTTTCTTCTCTTGGGTTATTGGCAACGGAGTTTTCGGCAGTCCAAGGATGTCCTTGGCGTCCATGGTAACTTTTCACCCCTCCCCCCAGATATTTAATTAGGGTTTTTGCGAACCATCAAATTAGCCGCTTCTTCCTAGAGAAGCAATTGGCTTCTGTTTTCGGGAATTTAGGGCCTCGATGGGGATTCAGGGGAAGATTCTAGGGTTTTCTTTGAGCGCGAAAGCAGTAGTTTTATGAGCAGAGCAAAAATTAGCTGCAAGGTTGTGGATTCGGTAACTGCCGGCTGCTCCTCCACTTCCAATCCACTGCTTGTCTTTTCCTTTTTTTATACTTTATACTACCACTAATATAAAATTTGAATTTAAAATTTTGATTATATTATTATTTTTTCTAAATATACCCTAATAAAATATGAAATATGTAAAGTTTTATTTAATTTATTAATATTTCAAAATATACCTGAATAAAAATGTAACAACTACTAGCAATATAATAATATATAAAATAAATGTTACTGGCGTAGGTTGGGCTTAGGCTTGGTGAGGTCGGGTCCACCACGGAGAGCCCACCTAGCTGGATTCACTTTAAGAAAACCATTTTCTAGTTCTCCTTCATGTTTAGTTATTTCCTCAACCATCCCCGGGCCTCCCTTCTTATTCCCCTGTCTCTCTCTCTCTCTCTCTCCGGGAACCCAGCTGAGGATTCTTGTAAGGTAAGACAAATATTACCAATTCCTAAAACAATTTTTTCATCACAAGAGTTCATTGCTTCTCCTTTCTCTCTCTCCAGTGTTTCCGATTTGATTACTAATTCTTTGTCTTTTCTTTTCCATCCTGTCAATCCATTGGTTTTGTGATCAGCTCTTTGTTTTGCAGCGTTGCAATAATGCCATGATTAATATTAGTTCAGAAAGTACAGCTTAGATTAACTAAAAACCAAAGAGCAACTCTTCTTTTTAAAACTAAAGAGCAACCCTTCTTTGCTCTGTCGGCTGTGCTTATAGACATTTATGCTCTTTATTTAAATGTAATAGCAATAAAAGCGAAAGGTAAACGAAGGCCAGCCCCTTTCCTCTTGCGTTCGCTACTTCTACTTCTAAGCAACTAATAGTATTTTTCTTATCAATTATACATAAAATTCTTGTTTTTCTCCGATTTTTAAGATTATCCTCCTACTTATTGCTGCAGGTTTATTAATTAACAACATATCATCATGGATGCTATCATCGCTAAAACTGGCACGGTTGGCAGCATAATGCTAAGGAGATTCTGTAGAAGAGCAATCTTCATGGACGATGATCAATGCTTGGCAAGCAGCTTCTTCATGGCAAAGGCTTGTTAACCTGTCCTTTGGTGCTATCCTACCTGAGCTTTTTTAAGAAAATAAAAAAAGAAAACCTATCCCCTTCTTCACCTTATTTCCTCTCTCTGTCTCTCCCCACGCACCATAATCTCTTCTTGACCTTGTAAGACCTTTTCTTGACCTTGTAAGACCCCTAACTAAATCTGCTACTCTCGTTATTAACATCTTGAAAGGTTTCTTATCAGAATTTTCATTTAGAGAGCTGTGCAAGTAGCATCCGCTGTTCCCACCCAACTTACCGTCTGCTTCTCTGTCTATCCCTCCTGAGCTATATAATAAACAAATCATACTACATAAAGCTAGTTTTCACATGTCAAAATCCCCTGTATCAGAATTCAGAAGCCATTGCAGTTGCAGCAGCTAGTTATAGCTTCAGAAAGGGCATGCAGTAGTTTTCATATAACTGGTTCCTTAGTTTATACTTTGGTTGTAATTTAAAGAAAGGCTAAAAGTGTGATGGAGCGTAGTCGAATGATTGTAAGGCTTTTGCTCATAATCTATCGTGGTTTGTCTTTCTCCTCTCTTTTTTTCGTACTCATCTGAGAAAGCATTGAATTCCAGTTTGTATTGTTATGCCTGCAGAAAATTAAACTCCATTCATGCAGGCAGTAGAGTTGTCAGATTGTTTGACATTTTGTTTTTCCTAACGGGAGCCTTTTTATTTTGCCATTGAAAAGTCGCTAATATTCTCTCAGATCTTTTTAAAGGGCCACCACCTCGTGATTGTTGCTGCAGGAATATAAAATGAGCAGGAGTACCGAGTACTGACTCCCTAGATAAAAAAAAGAACAGGGGTAATGGAACAGGGAATTTATAAATTTTGAAAATTGGACGACCATTCAAGTATATGTCAAATTGACTGATAATATCAGAACCGAGCATGTATTGCCCGGAGTTCGAATGCTGGCTATAGCACTTCCATGTGAGAGTCTTCCTCATCATAATAGTAATAGAGGGTCTTCCTCAATCCGCTAAAATTTCGATACTATACTGTAATCCAATGGATATACTTTTTTCCCCCAAAAGGTAGTACTTGAATTATCAAGCCAAAATGTCCAGATTCATCAACACTATGGAATGTTACTTGCTTGAGGTTACTCTTTTATTCCTCAGCACTGCAATGGCCAAGGGGTTTAATCTGATATTTTTTTTCCTTGGTTGTCTGAGTAATATTTTTCAACAAGAACAGATGGAATAGGCTTTATGATAACCACTTCTACAAATACGTTTCAAAGGATGATGTAGTAGAGGGGTGAAATGGGGCAGTAAAGCACTTTAGAGAGAAAAAAAAAAGTAGGAGAAGAAATCTAAGACAGAGACTTTGTAAATATCCCCCTTCAGAGATGTGGCATGCCACTATAATTTGTCTCCACGGGCTCACTGCCACCCCTTTTTCTGTCAATGGTTGAATTTAGGTAAAGATCAACCATGTTAGTACTGGATTGGTACACTTTTCTGAAGTGTCAAGCATATTTGAGCTCAACTTTTCAAAAAAGCGATTTCCATCTTTTGGGTGACATGCTAACATGGGGCACGTTTAATTGGAAGATAGCATCAATTGATAAGCTCATTCTTCTAGTGGAAAAAAGTAGAAAATGACTCCCCTCATGACAATTTTCAATCATCTTTGCTACGGTCTTCAAAAGTTTCAGGCGCGATTGTCAATGGCCTATTGAAAACTAAATGAGATAGTATGATCTGCTATCGCGTTGTTTCCGTCACAACAAAATCAGACCCCTCCCGACATTCGTTACGTACGCTACACGTGGACTTATGGATCCCGACATTACATTCACGGATTTATTAACCCTAACAACCTCCGGTGGTTGTATTTAACTTTGGTTGCTGTATTTATGGGACCAGTCGGCCCACGTACGTTCAATAGGTTAAAAAACTTATAATGAAGGAAATATATATGGGCTCGTCCCGGTCTTTTATCTAGGTATTCATCTAGGGGCATCCCCATGGCCATGGCCCCATTATTTGCTTTGGATCCTTAGTTGCCTTTTCATTGCTCCAACTGATGGTAGCCTTTCTTCCTTTACCTAGGCTTTGAGGTGATGGCACCTTTTGGGGTTATTATTTTGACCTGATATTATCCCCTAATGATTCCAGTGCACTGGAGGCCCGTAGACATCCATCCTTCAGAGGCCGTCACCCTGTTCCTGTCACAAAGGAGAAGACACTGACTTCCTCCGGTTAAGAAAGGGGAATCTCATACTATTACATTAACACTGCTATGCGCCCACAATTCTTTGGAATGGAGTTTCATTGAAAATTCGGATCAAATGTGTCATATGCACCACATACATTATTCAGATGAAATTTGATTGGTCAATCATCCTATCAATGATTTGGAATTGGATATGGTTTTTAAAGATACTAGAGCTAGCGTTTCAACAAGGCTGCATGTTCTAGCGAATTGGTTAACCATTTTTTCACAAAAGGGAAACAGGAATTCATGGATGAATATATGGCAATTGACAAATGCTTTTGGCAGTCTTGGCAGGAATCCTTTTCTTTGTCTTTCTTATTTTCTATTCTGTATATGGTGTGGCGCTCTTTGCACTGCTCTGGTGGCTGCATATGTCACCTAAGCCGAAGGCTGCAGCGCAAAAAGATCAACCACTAAATAAATAATAGAAAAATTCACTAATGAAACTAAATCATTTGAACTATGTATATTTAATTGGGGAGTGGCAAATATATAAAATAAAGAAGTGAAATTATATGGTTTCTAAAATATTCTGTTGTATAACACAAACATAATAAGACTAACCTGCCCCAAATGCACCCTTGAATATAATATCAAAACCTATATATGCTAGTATGAACAGTCCTTTGTCTGAAGACTGCAGTCCAAGATTCATTCCATGTGCAAACGCTCGCAAAGATTCGATAGTCCTAAAGCTTTATCAAGTCTGCATTGTCCTCTTCTTCTCTGTCCACTCGCAATTTGTCATCACATCAAAAGTGTATTACTAATTATCACAGTGCAATTGAAGTTATAGCAACGATTTGATTGACAGAACAAGTTGCAATATCTCCGGCCACGAGATGCAGACACACTCCAACTGGCAGTCACTTTGAATCTTCCCCATGACAAAATTCTGTACGCAAATTTAACTGCCAGTTCTCACAGAAAGAGCCAGGGAAAATGTCGTAGGGAAATCGCAAATGTTGATCACTTTTCCATCGGTTGGACTTGGAGACCCAACTAAAGAACCTTTGACGAGATAGCTTTTTGTTGCCGAATGGAGTCGTTGGATAATAATACGACACAACAGCTCGGTTCCGTTCCAAAGATGGAACTGTTAAGATATTTTTATATAATGAGAAAATACACGTACATCTATAGTTTATTCTTTGTAGTTTGTACATATAAGAGCTAATTTAATAAATTCCGAGTTAGATGCTTTGCTGTCTATTCCCACCGTGTGTTTCCTTCATTTAAAGATGAATAAGTTAATCTTTTCATGCGGATGTTGGGGTTTTCGATGTCGGTTAACAGATACAAAAACAAACTCGTTTTTGTTCTCTTTCCTTCTTATCAAGGTCATCAGTGTTGAACATCCATTATTTAGTACTGAAGAGCTTTCCCTCGTTGTCCCCAAGTAGCTGTCTCAACTTATCAATTTCATTTGTTCTTTCTTCCCCTTTTACTTTTTGACCGGTGTTTCAGCTTTTTAGATTGCAGGTGATCTAATTAGTGTATATATGCATATATGCAACTGCCTGCAACTCTTTCTGGTAAAAGACGTTCCAAATTCTGACTGAAAGTTGATCAGTTGTTGTTCTGATGTGCAGAAGTGAGAATATCACTAATTTTTTTAATACAAATTTTAACAACTTTTCTTCTTGTTGTTTTCAATTTGTTTCTATGATGAACATCGAATACATTCTATACTGCATTTTCTGCAAAAATATATTAGTGAATCACTTAATGTGTCCCCATGTGGCTACAAAGATCACCCACCTTAAACTGAATTATGCAAACCATTTGCCATTTCCTATTATTCCAGGAAAAGATTGATAACATTCTTTGATGACTAGGGCGGCAGTTACATGAGAAAAAAAGAAAAGGGCAGTTAAAAAGCAGGTGGCTCCCAAGGAAAAAGTATGGCAAACTTTTATTAGCAAAGGGTCCAAGCCAGGATCTCATGATTTCACATTTGATTGCCTGATACCATACATGCCTAAATGGACTTGTATCAATTGTCGGCAAATTAATCCTAGATTTCAAGCAGTGGCTCCAGATTTTCTGATGATAGTTAATTCTTCTGTCAGAAAGCTGCTGCTGCCTGCCAACAATATATATTTATTTATGTAATCCTGAGCTTTTCTGCAAGTGCACAAAATTAAGCAGACAAACTAACTAATTGCACCTAATATTTTCACCATATACTATCAACAATTTAATCTTTCAAATGATTGCTTTTGGGACTTGTAAATGTAAATCAACTGCAACCGGAAGCTCTTGTATATGCAGAAACACAGCAGACAGCAGTAGTTGAGATGTGAAGATCCTAATTCTACTCAGAACCACACGCTTGCATTAATTATTTTGTTTTCATTCGTCATTATCAAAATCGTTATCATTATCATCATAATGCTATTAGACAATAACCATCCAACCTAAAGGTGAAGAGCTGGGAATGGCCGAAAATGATTGTCAACTGCATGCCCACAGGATTTCATTTTGTGACTTGCACTCAGCACAAGTTAATTTTCTCTTCCTTTGCTTTTTGTTAAGCCAATATAGCAAGACCTTTAGCTTATATCACATTATTACTGTTTCCTCTGCTGCTAATTCATGTATTATTTCACTATTTTTTGACATCTAAAATATGGGTTAAGCTTTAATCTCTCTCAAATGCCTATGTATGATCATTCATTAACACTCAAACAACTTTGATATTATAAAACTTGTTCTGCAAATTGCCAAAATGTATTCTGTTCTTCTTTAATTAGTTCTTCCTCTCTCTCTCTCTCTCTCTCTCTTTTTCTTTTTTTCTTTTTCCGTTAAATTTGCTCAAGTTTCTTCCATTATTAATTATTTAACAAATTATTAAGTTCCCTTATTATTTTCATCATCATCACAGTCATGATTATTGGGCCATTATCAATTTATCAAAACACACCCTAATTGACAGTTATTAATAGGCTGTGTAGGTCCACCAACCTTTGCACGTAGTGGAGTGGTTAACATCAAAAACTTTGTGGCTTTTTACTAATAATCTCTGCAGTTGCATTCGACTCATCCTCACCAATAAATGCAATCCCCATAGCAACTGGCATTTCACTTTTATTTAGCCAAAGGCACCAGCTGGTAATTGATTTGGGAAAACGCTATCTCACATGAGTATATATATAACTAAAACCAAAGCTCTCTTTTGTCTTCTTTGCCAATTACCCTACTTATATATATTCCATTCTTGCTTTTAAAAAAGAAAAGTTTGAGTTTTTTTAGTTTAATTTCAAGTCTAGTCTATATATGAATTAATTGGTAGCTAGCTAGTGGAAATTAAACTCGACCCAATACTCTGATAGAACTAACAGCTTATGTTTATTACTATT